AGATAGCTGGAAATGTGACATTGTGTTTGTTGTTTGGTCTACATATTCAAATGAATATGAAAATGTAAATTTGTTAGACACGTAACATAGACATTGCCGGGAATCCAATCCCCTGTTGATATTACCACGTTTCACTTTTTTAACCAATTAAATTGCCATAAGACGTGATTGAGATCCGGTTGGGAAAAAAGTCAATTGGATTTTGTGTAGTAGCCCAGACTTGATCTTGGTCTCTTTGTGCGCATGACCGCAGCAGTGCAAGGGATTCATAACGCGCCTCCTGTCTTCATAATCATAACTTTAATATCAACGAAAGAGTGGATTCTTCCGTAACCGGTTCATTTAAATAATGCAAGAGTCATGTGTAAATCGCGCAGTCCCGCCTTAAGCAGGGAAATGTGACCTTGATTTGTGGGCATGAAGTTTGGCTCTGTTAATGAGGTGGAGATGAAGAGCTCCACAGGACTCTCCTCACACTCACTTCAGTGATGCCGCCGCTGAGTCCAGCACATCGCTTTCTGCTCACTTCAAGCAACGCAGATCGTTCCCGCTCTCTTCATTTGCGCTTTTAATCAAATCTATCACCAGAAAGCCTTTCTGCGCCATATATCTCTTTACTTCAGCGCATTTGGATTCATAATGCCTGGACTGAAGTTGCGCGGTGCACTGCTTCTGTGCGTCCTGATGCTGCCGTTCTCTCGGCCGAACGGTCAGGTGCTGGACTGTCGCGAAGTGCGCTCGTCGTTAGTCTGTTTATTGAGGTTGCTACATTTCCCAGCGGAGAGCTGAGGAGATAGATGAGTTGAGATGAATGACAGGATGGATGGCTGGCTCTCCTTAGCTGCTTGAAGCTTTAATTCTGTCTCAACTGGAGGCTGGAGAGACGTGGGTTAGAAACACGGAGAGTTTGTTTGGCCCTCACAACAAAAATACTGCTGAAAAGGATCTTGCTTTTCCCCAGTGACTGCATTTCGTTGTTAGGCTGCTTTATGTGCAAGTATCTTAATTTTTATATATATATATATATAAAATGTTTAATCTGTTTAATTTTTATATTTACCATTTATGCAGACAATATATTATAATTTTTTATATTATAATTTAAACCTTTACATTTAGGTATATATATATATATATATATATATATATATACTGTATATATTTAATTAAATTTTTTTACTTAATTTGAATAATTTGAACCATTATGAGTCTTTCTAACACCATGTGATTCGACTTGTAGGTGAATGATTGTAAAACCCGAGCAATCCCTTATGGTTCAGCTGCTTTCAGGAGATATAAAGTGACCTTCCCAGTTCCATTTAATCAGAGGTGCTGTTCGTTTTTGCAGAGTTCGCATTTGCAATTTAAATGGATTGCAATTGGGTTAAGGACAAGGCACAGAGTGATATTCTCAGTCATTTGCCTTCTCAGAGGAATTTGAACACATTTTAACCTTTATCAGAGTTCAAGAAAAGTAACGGAGTGATTGCATTGCATATCTTACTGGACTGCAAGAACCTGCATCCACTATCTGATGTACTTTTAAATTAAATGTAAATGCTACTGTCATTTACTGCGAAAACTTACCGGATTGCATGCATAAGATTTGAAACTCGTATATGTTGCAGTTTTCATATGAATTCCTTCGAAAGCATTTTGGGTTGGTTGTGCTCCTCTTCAGTAGCTGGTATGGGACTTCATGTCCTGATGGTTACAATCATGCAATAAAAGCCTTTTTGAAGCCCTAGATTTTTGAAACCTAAACATTGCTCTTCAGAGAAAGGACTAACTGTGAGTTTTTTTTCTTTCGGAAGTGTGCCGCAGGCGGTGTAGAGTCCTGATAATCCCAGCGGCACCGGGCTCTGGACTCTACGCCTGGTGCAGTAATTAGTGGTGCGGCGAAGCCTTTGGCTTTATTCATTTTGATTCATTATATGAACCGATACCACGCGGCTCCAGCATATGTAGCCAGAAACCTTAATTGGGTGTCCTTGTATTATGTCAGACTATGAAAGAATGTGAGGTTAATTGTTTGCCCCCCTTATTTGGTATTGATTTATGTGTTGACCAAATGCATCTTAAGAGGCATACTTGTTTAGAAAAATGTCATAACAGATGCGTGAAGGAAAGAAGTGAACTTAATAACTTTTCTCTTTTAAAGACGTATAATGTCCCTGTTTATATGAGTCCAATAAGTACATAACATCATAATTTAAAAAAAATCTAATGACAGTTTGAGATGATTTTGTTAAGCCTCGTTTGTACACAAAGAGCATTGTGCAAAAAGAGCCATCCAGTTTCCTTCAAATGGAGCACCTATTCCAAACCCAGTGCACGTCGCTGGCCTTGAAGTAGCAAATGAATGTAGACAACCTTAATGTTAATTGGAAATGGGAACGACTTCAGGCCGTATAGTGTTGCTGTCACCTTCTAGTGATTTTATTTATTCCACCGAGAGTTTTACTCTCTCTCCCGGCCTGCTTGCAGATTTAATGCTTTGCTTGATTTGTATCGCATCTCATGTTCTGAGTTTGGTTCCAAAAGTTCGCACTTGCTGTGCTACAGAAACCTGTATTACTCTTAGTCTGTTTCTCGTATTAGATGCGGCGTTCACCTTCAGAGACCCCTTTTTCTGAACCACGCAACAGGCAGCTGCATCCGCTGCCCTGTGACCCCAGTAAACCCGGTGGTGGGCTTTAAACTTGTGGTGATATTTGGGTTGACAACCGCTGTGTTTCTGTTCAGCTGCCAAATGTGATCTCTACTGGCTTCTGTGAGTGAGATGGAGAGAGAGAGAAGAGAGGATGTGATGACTGATGTATCTACAATGGAATACAAGCAGGCCAAGCCGAGACATGCAGCCCGCAGGAAGATTGAACTGAATTCTAATCATACCGCATGTAATGCCAGGGGGCCACAAGACCAAAAAAGCCAATGAGAGGTTCTCCCTTTTTCTACTGGCACATCTTTTCCATTTTTTTGTTGATGTCTCTGTTGCTCATTCCAGCCTTCTCGTCCCGAGAGGAAGAGCTGAATGTCAAAGCACAATAGACAGCTGACTGTCTTTGTAGTCTCAAAGGCACCTTTACTCTGGCTCAATCAATCTGACGTTTTGATGTGGCGTCCCCTGCAAATATTTTATTAGATAATGAGTGCTCAAATAAGGATGACCGTTGTTAAACTCATAGTTCGGTGTCATTGCTTTGGTTTCGTCTGAGTAATGAGGGGTTCGGAGGGTTGAGTACAAAGTGAAGTCAGGGTCCATCTCTCAGCAGTCTCTCTGATCAACATGAGATGAGAGGGAGCCGTATTCCCGTCCGTTGGTACTCACGAATGAGATCCAGCTAATGAAGTGCCTCTGACCTCCCTCAAGAGCTCGTGTTAGAGGCTGTTAAGGGGCTTCTGTGCCGCTTGTTTTAATGTCAGTAATGGCAGAATGCAATTCAGAGACACTTGTTCACCCCATCAAAGGCTAGATCCTCTCAGTGCAGGCAGTATTGTTATTCCAATTATCAAAAGCAAGTCCTTGTAGAAATGATAAACTACCTCGCTAAGTATGCCGTCTTATTTCAACAAACAGAATTGTAAATAGGGAAACTACGTCTGCCATTGGTTGGTCAAGCGGATAGTCCTGTTTCAATCTCATCGGTCGAGCCTGTGTCTGGATGCTCAAATGTTTTGGGGGGAAATCAATATACAAATGGATTACTTATAGTTGTCTTTGAGATTTGAGGAAGTATTTTATCATAGAAAAATTGTGCACAATGCACATCACCATTAATCGGTGTTCAGTTAATTTATAGCTGCATTTTTAAAACATGAGAGTTAAAAACATTACTCAAGATATATGTATGAATATTCAGTCAAATTGCTTATCATCATTATTTATTATTATTATTTATTCACATATTAGTACCTTAAAGGTACATATTACTACTTTAAAAGTACATATTTTATTTCCTCTACTAAATGTATTTATTTTTAAATGAATTATTTCTTTAAATTATATTTTACAATAATTTACAATTTCATTACAATAATATTTTTCTATATTATTTAAAATATTATTTTAGTATTTTATTTTTAGTATATTTCATATTTTTTATTATTATTTTTATGTAGAATAATTGAAGCATTATTATTATTATATAACAACAATGTATTTTTAATGTACATATTAATTTTCACATGCAGTGATGACTTCATATACACTTTATATATTCACATATTTAATGCTTGGAAGGTTCTAACATTTTTCGTAGCAATATGTGAAGTCCTTAATACACTAGATTTAGTATAGTGTCAAGGGGCAGTAGACAGAGCCTTGGGCAGTGAAGTACCTTCATATTTTGATAAATGCCCACACAGTTTCTGTAATTATGAGATAATGGCTTAGGTCAATGTCTCTGGTAGTCCATTTAAAGTTGAAGGCGAGGGATCACATGCCCACAAGCCATGAAAGTTTCTACTAATGACTGTGGTCAGCCTTTCTATTAAAGCACATATCTTGGATTTTCCTGGGCTGATTGAAACAGAGCAACACAGCGTGTTTGTGCGGGCTGCGGGCTTTTATTGTGCTGTTATTTACTTTATCTCTCCCTAACTGAATCTCACCCTTGTGTGCTCCATGCTGTGGAAGTCTGATGTACTTTCTTTCATTAAATAATTCCAATGGCACTGTAAGACGACAGAATGCTTTGCTTTAGTCCATTAACTCTCCTGCCTCCCTGGCAGAGGAGCCCGATTCATAATCATATACTTCGTATACTTTCATCAGCCCGTTGACTTTCCACTTCTTTTAATTGTTCACACATATTGATGTCTTTGAAGTGAGTCTAGAAAGAAAAGTCATAATTCCTGTGTCGTTGCTCTATAATTCATGCTTCTAATAACATCCTTTTAACATTTTCTGTATTTTAACACAGCATGTTTTCCCCACAGCCTCCATTAAACTTGCATGCTGATAGCTTTATAAATGGTTCTTAAGATCACGCTTATGCATGCATCTGGCTGCGCTCTGTGTCTTCAGGCTTGTTAAGGAGGAGCGTGAGACTGAAATGTGTACACAGCGCTCACCACGTCTCCGTCAGAGCCGTCTTTTTCATCTGGGCTCCGACAGGGATACTCACACGCCTGAGGCCTTTGGCCGAGGCTGCATGAGGGAAGGGGAATTTAGGAGTTTTTTTCTAGAAATTTTAGGCGATAAGGAAGGAAGTGAGTGTGTCATGACTCAGTGGACAATGAATATGGAAGAGGTCGTATCTACAGTATCTCACAGAAGTGAGTACACCTCTCACATTTTTGTAAATATTTTATTATATCTTTTCATGTGACAACACTGAAGAAATGACACTTTGCTACAATGTAAAGTAGTGAGTGTACAGCTTGTATAACAGTGTAAATTTGCTGTCCCCTCAAAATAACTCAACACACAGCCATTAATGTCTAAACCGCTGGCCACAAAAGTGAGTACACCCCTAAGTGAAAATGTCCAAATTGGGCCCAATTAGCCATTTTCTCTCCCCGGTGTCATGTGACTCAGTGTTACAAGGTCTCAGGTGTGAATCGGGAGCAGGTGTGTTAAATTTGGTGTTATCGCTCTCACTCTCTCATACTGGTCACTGGAAGTTCAACATGGCACCTCATGGCAAAAAACTCTCTGAGGATCTGAAAAAAAGAATTGTTGCTCTACATAAAGACGGCGTAGGCTATAAGAAGATTGCCAAGACCCTGAAACTGAGCTGCAGCACGGTGGCCAAGACCATACAGCGGTTTAACAGGACAGGTTCCACTCAGAACAATTTGGACATTTTCACTTTGGGGTGTACTCACTTTTGTGGCCAGTGGTTTAGACATTAATGGCTGTGTGTTGAGTTATTTTGAGGGGACAGCAAATGTACACTATTATACAAGCTGTACACTCACTACTTTACATTGTAGCAAAGTGTCATTTCTTCAGTGTTGTCACATGAAAAGATATAATAAAATATTTACAAAAATGTGAGGGGTGTACTCACTTCTGTGAGATACTGTATATAGAGGCTCAACCTATGTTTTTCAGCCAGAGTCCTTGAAGGTACACCAGGGGGGTCTGAGGAAAAGTAGCACGATACACACTTTGTGACATTTCTAACTACTAGTTAACTAAAGATCTGTTAAGCATTTTATAATCAATGTTAATGTTCTTATGGTCTATGACATGATTCTACTTTTTTTATTTAATTCACAGTATATAAATGCTATGAACTTTTAATTGAAAATTAATTTTAATATTTTTTGGGAGGATATAATGTCAAATATCAGGGCAATACAACTGCCCTGATATCATGATGATTAAAAATCTTTATAGAAAATTGAAATAAAGTAGCTTGATTGTATCTCTCACTGAACGTTTGCAAGTATTAGTCTTTTATGTCTTAGAAAAAGGTGAATACATCTTATAAAATATCATAGAATTTGACCTGGTTAGTTCAGGTTTTAAAAGGTCTTATGATGCAACCTCCCAAAAACTTGCTGATATTTATGAATTGACCATTTATGGTATTTGTGAAAGATACTTATTTAAAAACATGATTAAGATGTGTACATTCATACTTTGGAAAATATGTTATTACATTTGCTTTGAACTAGATTTTTAAAAGTTTTTTATTTATCTTGGACACTCTTATTTGTCATTGACCCCTTAATAAAAGCTATTACAAAATGTTATATGTAAGTATAAAATGGGTAAATCTAGCTGTTTTATACTGGCGGTATGAGTTGAAAACTGCTGCTAGAACAAGACAAACAAATGACGTTTGTATGGTCACATTCTCAGTGCACGATATTTCTTCTACAGACTGAGGCATCTACGTTTTAATTTCGAACAAATGTTTTCTGTTCCATTTTCAGAAGACAAACAATCTAATCCGTCGTATTTATGAGCAGTCTTTAGTTAGAGACTGTGATGTAATATTTGTTTATGCTTCTCTGCTGGGAGCAATCTCCCTCCTGTAAAGTCCTTCACTTTTCTCTGACAGTTCGCAACTTCTCTAATAAAGTACATTTATCATCTGCAAACAGCAGACGTGCCGATAAAATTGTCTGTTTTGCTGAAGATAATTACAGAATCTGTCTGAGTTCTTTCTCCTATCATACCTGTTCCCTTCTGCCAGCTCTCCCCCCGCCCCTCCACTCGCTAGGCTATTGACAGCTTAATAAATTTGCCTTGGAATCTGAAATTAGCTTGATCGTATCTGTCGCCGGTCCTTTGCGAGCATTGATTTTGGATATTAAGCCTGTCGGTGCGCATATGAAATGTGCCGTCTGCACAATATGGCAGGTTTGCCCATGATTTCTCATTTCATATCCGTATTGGTGCAGATCAGAAAGTGTTGGGTTTTTCTTGCTGTTGTTGGTATCTGATGGCATGTGATGTTAATGGGTTTATTTACCCATTCCTAACAGGCGCTGTGTGCTTAGTAGATCAGCATTTTTTGCTTTCTCTTAAGGCGATTTCTTTGACATTTTGTCTTCACATTTTCATATGGGATTTAAAATTTGGCAGCACTTAAATCTCCTGCATTTTAATCTCTTTCATGGTCTATTAAGTTATTTCAATCAACAAAATTTGTAGAGTATGTTTTTAGGACTTCTTGTTAGATTTGTTTTCTCATCTTCGATGATGAACTGGCAAGGATTGAAAATTTAAAATGTGATCATTTATTCAGCAGTCTTTCAGTATAAGAATCGAAAGGAATTTAATGATTCCGGTTCTGAATCCTAACAGTTCCATTAACGATTCTTTTCCATTTGAGAAGGAAATATTAGGAAAGCAGAAACACAATTCTGTTGCCAAGTGCTTGGATAATTTTCATAGTAAATGTGTAACAACCAAGAACAAAAAATGTGGTAATATTTCATTCAGTCCTTTTTTTAATTTTTTTATAGAATACCACTGACAGAATGTCATGATGTGTATTAACTACCAATTATCATATGAACAACTAATCAGTACCTACACTAATTTAGGCCTTAAAGGGATACTGACCCAAAAACTTTTTTAAATCATTATTTACTCATGTTCATGCCCTTCCAAACTTGTATGTTTTTTTTTTCTGTGGGAGAAAAAATAAGATATTTTGAAAAATGAAAAGTTACTGGGGTCCAGTGTCGTTTGAACCCCCCCTTTTTAATATCTTATTTTTATGTTTCACAGAAGAAAAAAGTCAAACAGGTTTGCAACAAAAAGAGGATGAGTAAATGATGACAGAATTCTCTCTTTTTTTTTTTTATGTGAACTATGCATTTGCAGGCCTATTTATGTTTTTGATTCAAGAACCGGCTCATAAGGGTCATCTCAAGAATCGGCCTTCACTGCTTGTATTGTATTTTTCGCTCTGAACAGCAATGGAGGGAACAATTTCAGTGAAATTTGTAATCCTATTGGAAGAATATTGTAAATTTTAAAGCCATTAATAAAACTGAATGTCGCAAAAAATCATTTGGATCTGGCATTTTTTGTAAAAACGGAACCGTTTCTCTGTTCTGACACCTAGTAAAGACCAAACCTGATTGAATCTGAACGCAAGTAAGTTATGTTCTTGTAGCATGTTCTTGAGGTCTCCTCCATGAGGAAATTTGCTATCTGAGAGCATCAGACTGTGAATTTTTATCCTGTTTTATTTTTATCCTGTACCTTTTAGTCGAACGCTGTACAATAGTTATGACAGTGTTCCAAAGTGCAGCAAAAAGCCTCTCTTAAACAGAGCAGTGACACTTTCGTCTCTGCCCAGATCGTGTTATGCCCTCCTTTTCTCCTACCCCATCATCATCTTCTATGTCTGTGTGAACTGGAGCATTGGGACTCCTCTGAAGTTTGTTTACAGCACTATCAATCAACCTAGTGCCACCTCCACCCCCTCAGGTAGCTGACATACACACACTCACACACTTCATTTGGCTCCGGTTTAACAGTGCTGCTCTGAGATGCATGAGATGACAGAGAGGCAAAGTGACTGAGAACAAAGTTGCATGTAGGATGCTCTTTCAAAATAATAATGGAAATGAAAATTTGAAAGGGCTGAGGATTTGCGGAGTGCAAGTTCTCTCCTTGCAAGTGTAATCGCAAGATAATTGGCCACATTTCCAAATGTGGATGCGCGGCCCCGGGGAAAACATTTGCAATAATCCTACTGATTTTCGCAGCAGCTGTTTCCTAGTCCCGGTTCACATGCAGAGAGGTCTGTTTGACCTGAATGCAGTGGAATCCCACAATGCACTCTGCCCAAAACACCCCTTTACATGTGTTATTCAGTGTTGGAAGTTCTGCAAGATAAGACGCGAGTATTGTGTGGGTTTTTTTCCCTACTTCAGTAGGAAAGCATTTGCAATTCACAAAGTAACATTTAAAATGTGAGGAGATTTAATGTTTTATGCTTATTTATGAAAAGAGTTGATAAATAAATTAATGTGAAAATTAACCTGTGTAAGATTTCGATTGTGTGCAGTTTTTTTTTTTTTTTTTCACATCCGCCTCCTGGCACATGGGGGACTTAATCAGGCATTGGTCATTTTTATTTTCTGTATCCTTGATGTTTGATTCAGCAGAGATCAGATAGCATCGCTCTCTTTCTCTCCCCACAGGGCATGAACATTTTTAGATTATTATTCATATGTGAGCCACGAACTGAAGCACCTTCATCCAGAGAGCTTATTTCTCAATAGGCTTTTCTCTCCCAGCAAATCCAATTATGCCTCTTTGATAGATAACCTTCAAACCTTGATTCTAGTAAAACGGGTGTCAACAAATCACCCATCACCTCTTCATTCACTTCAACAAGACGTTCCTGTCAATGTGTTGACTGTTTTTTCTGTTCATCCGTGTCTCTTTCATCCAATCCACATGGGGAGTTGCACTACTTCAGACTTTAAATGGACAGATTTTGCATAGTAGTAGTCTCCTGGGGTCCGTCTTTACCAAACGTTCTCCCTGATTATCTTGTTTTCCTTTAATGAGTGTTTGTTCTCTGCTAATCAGTTTGGCAGGATGAAATGCAATGCATAGAAATTAAATATCATGTTTCAGTTAAGTAGCAGGTATTCATTTTGTTGTGTTTGAGATTTGAATAGGTAACGTAAACAGTGTGCTCTATAAAAGGAACGGTTTTCTCCAGCTCTCTCTGAAGCTTGACTCATAAAGCAAACACGCTTTCAGATGGAATTTATTAAGTGCCGCGGTCTGTTTACTTGTTTATTGCAATGGCTGTAACAAATTTTGTGTCTCTCCTGTTCTTCAGGCTCAGATCTGCAGGTGTGCCAGCCGAAAGGCCTGACCTGCTGTTCTCGCAAAATGGAGGAGCGCTACTTGCTCATTGCCAAACAGAATTTGGAGTCCAGTCTCCAGGCCACCAGCGCCCAGCTCAAAGTTCTCATCATTCAGAATGCCGCCCTCTTTCAAGGTGAGTTTCTGCAACAACGCAATTAAAAATACACACTGGGACTGATTCATGAAACTTGATGAAATTTCAGTTTAAGACATTTTTGCTTTATGAAGTTATGAACAAATTTATTCGCATCATGATTCATGAATGAGAACCAGTGTTTTTAGATCAACTGACAAAGGTGCGGTCACATTATGAAATTTTATGGGCCAAAAAGGTTCATTGTCAGTTGTGTATCAATGTATGAAGCTCCCACAGAGGTCACTTGCAAACCAAGCAACTTTTTGTTGGTTAATGCAGTGATTAATTCGCCCACACAAAGAATTCCTGGTCGCATGGATTCCTAATAAAAAGACTGAAATTCGTCTGCAAAATTTGGAGAACAACAGTAAATGCGACCACGCATTCGGATGGCTGTGCATTTTTACTGTTTTTTTTTTGTTGCAGATTATTGCTAGTCATGTTCTACGATATGAGATCATAATTAAAGGTGCAAGGCTGATTAGTCTATTATGTCAGATAGGGCTGGGCGGTAAATCGATTCATTCACGTTGATTGAAAAATGGATCTTCTTGATTGATCAGTTTAATGAATCGTGTAATTTGGCATCAGTGGGTCGCCTTCACTAATTGTGTTGCACTAACAATGTTAGCATGGTGGATTTAGCTAGCCCCTGTCTGTTCAGAGAGGTGGTTCAATGCTAATTGCTTCAGCATTAAGCCTGAGAGAAATTCTCAAACAGCCTGCAGAATTTCTGAAATGTGCTTTTGTCTCGTCGTGTTTTTCCCCGGCACGCTCCCGCAGTGAATTGCGAACGGGCCTTGTTTGCAATCTTCTATGCTGCTCTCCTCATTGCTTTTGATTCTTTTGTACTTTTCGTGGCTGACACAGATCAAAGGGCTCTGCTCTCCACTCCAGCATCCTCCATCCCTTCCCTTCACTCGACTCCCATCAGCCCCTGCTGCCCCTCCCCGCGCTAGCCTGGCTTTCTCACACAGCGCCAAAGAATCGGCTCTTTGAAGTCAACTTTGCCAAACAATCATAAAAGTTAAGAGGCTAAATGGATCTTCTTGATTGATCAGTTTAATGAATCCTGTAATTTGGCATCAGTGGGTCGCCTTCACTAATTGTGTTGCACTAACAATGTTAGCATGGTGGATTTAGCTAGCCCCTGTCTGTTCAGAGAGGTGGTTCAATGCTAATTGCTTCAGCATTAAGCCTGAGAGAAATTCTCAAACAGCCTGCAGAATTTCTGAAATGTGCTTTTGTCTCGTCGTGTTTTTCCCCGGCACGCTCCCGCAGGGAATTGCGAACGGGCCTTGTTTGCAATCTTCTGTGCTGCTCTCCTCATTGCTTTTGATTCTTTTGTACTTTTCGTGGCTGACACAGATCAAAGGGCTCTGCTCTCCACTCCAGCATCCTCCATCCCTTCCCTTCACTCGACTCCCATCAGCCCCTGCTGCCCCTCCCCGCGCTAGCCTGGCTTTCTCACACAGCGCCAAAGAATCGGCTCTTTGAAGTCAACTTTGCCAAACAATCATAAAAGTTAAGAGGCTCTGTCACAGGGACTTTTTCAGGGCATCTAGTGATGAGCGCCGCGTGCCAGTTTTCTGGGTCCCCTCATCAGTCTCATATCGCATTTAGTCACAGTGTGTCTCTTTTGATTCATGTCAATGGCTTGGTTAAAAGCCTCTAAAATCGTAAACGGAATCAGCCTGTGGGTGATAAAAGAGGGACATGTGGCATGTGAGGAGGTTTTTTGAGACTTCAATTTGTGATCCAGTCTGTCCTACAAATCAGGAGTTCTGAAAAATGAGACACAATATAAGGGTGGCAGCATCTGCTATAAAATCTGTCACAGCGGTACCTTTTCAAAAGGTACTAATATGTACCATTTCGGTACTAATATGTACTTTTAAAATACTAAAATGTTCCTTTAAGGTACTAATATGCATCCTTTAAGGGTAAATAAGGTGCAAAAGTGGCCACATTGACAGTTTTTGGACCTATTTTCTGAGAGAGTAGCACGATAGCATAGTACAATTTGATATCATACAAGATTGATAAGTTGTTAACCTGAGAACTGCAGGTGATATTTGCTATACAAATCATGTTTAAAAGTTATACAGAACGCCACCCGTGACCCATTTTATGGGGTAATAGTGATATTTTTATGATTTAAGGTTTGTTTAGGTCCATTAACAGTTTTTTTGTTAGTGTTTTCTTGTCAGTGTTATTGTAGTATCATTGAGATACTATTATATCGTTTTTCTTAATATTTTGAAATAATTTTTTTGTTGTTGATTTTGTAATTTTCATCAGTTTTTTTCATGTCTATATTTTTTTCATTTTATTTTTAGTATTTTAGATCAATTTAAACTAAATGAAAATGAGAAGCATTGCCTTGGCAACTAGCTGAAATACGTTTTTTTTCTATTTTATTTTATTGCAGTTAATTTTATCGCAAGTAACAAATTTTTAAAATGGTTTTATCTTTAGTTAACTATAATAAACCTGTTTGTTGTGTTCAAACTGCTAGACTAAGTGGGTTGGAACACAAAGTACAGTCTTCTCTGTTTTTGACCAAAGCATTCATCTAGCCTATATTTATCAAGAAAAACAATAAAAAAATCAGCGCAGATGGATGTGTCCATTTCGTCTGATATCCTGGAATTCAATAGACAGACACCTTCCTTCATGCGGATTTAAACAATTGTACCCCTGTATGGTTTTATCTTTAGTTAACTATAATAAACCTGTTTGTTGTGTTCAAACTGCTAGACTAAGTGGGTTGGAACACAAAGTACAGTCTTGTCTGTTTTTGACCAAAGCATTCATCTAGCCTATATTTATCAAGAAAAACAATAAAAAATCAGCGCAGATGGATGTGTCCATTTCGTCTGATATCCTGGAATTCAATAGACAGACACCTTCCTTCATGCGGATTTAAACAATTGTACCCCTGTACAATTAAACAATCGATTACAGCTGCCGTGATTAAAAATGAAGGAAAAGCGTCTATTCGCTGAATTACATTTTGAATCGTGCACGCTGCAACAGATTGCTTTTTACGCATTGCTTTTTTTGTAGCGCAATCATACGCATTTCCGTTGAGCTTAGGAATGCAATGACCAATCAGAGAGGCTTAGATTAGTCAGCGCTGAAAACTCCAGAGTTGTTGTCGCGTGTGCGTGCTCACCGATTGAATTCATAATGAACTGACTGACTCGTCATAAACAACACTGTGCAGACATGAGGTAAATAAAAGATTAATTTCGTAGCTTCAATGATTATGACAAGAGTTTTTGCATAACTGCACTCGACTAGACTAACGTCATGGACCGACATGTTTGTTTGTGAGAACAGAGCCAGAATATATGGTGAGCCATTTCCACAAAATGCAGACGCAAAACACAAAAAAGTTTTTATATGTATTCTATTAATCAACATTAATAATCACTATTACAATATTAAAGGTGCTGTATGTAAGTTTTTGACTCTACTAAAGCATAAAAATACCATAATATGTTTGCAGATATTTAAGAAACATGCTAAGTTAACATATTTGTTTATCTGAAAAACAATGCTACAGTCAGTTATTCTCCTTTGAAAATGTGTGTTCCGGGCCGGAATGTCGGTCTCTGTTTTGGTTTGTGAAACCCACCCACTGCCAGTTTACCCAATTGTATTTCGGCACCCCGGGTTGCCAGTTGGCGGGAAACACAGCGTATTTCATTTCAGTCATGGAAGCTGGCAAACGAAAGGGGTCAGAG